AGGATGCCTCGCGAAATAACGAACAAACTTCAACGATGCCTTAACGCCTTTGCTGATTATGCCACCACGTGGAAAATCAAAATCAATGCCTCCAAAACACAAGCGATCATGTTCCTCCATCGGCAATCGCCCAAACTGAAACCGGCTCCATCTTGTACTGTAATCATGGATGGCACAAGGGTTGAGTGGTCCACCGAAGTAACCTATCTCGGGATGTTGTTTGACGAAAAGCTCCTATTCCGCTCGCATGTGGAGAAAACCGTAATCAAGTGTTCTGCCTTGGCTAGATGTCTGTATCCGCTGATTTGCCGCAGATCCCGGCTCTCAAGGGTGAACAAACTGGCCGTCTACAAACAAATCATTGCACCTGCGATCCTCTACCCAGCTCCGGTGTGGGAATCATGTGCACAGACTCGCAGGAACAAAATTCAGGTAGCTCAGAATAGAGTGCTGAGGATGGTTCTTGATCGTCCTTTCGACACTAGAATAACAAATTTACATGAAGAGGCAGGCATTGCCAAAATAGATTCCAAAATTAACGAAATTAAGACTAAATTTACACAAAAATGTAATTTATCAGAACATGCTTTGATAAGCAATTTGTATATAGTAGGTTAGGTGTATATAGTAGTTGTAGGTTAGTTGTAGTTGTAAATAGTAGTTATAAGTAGTCTCCTTTTTCCAATTCAAATCAAACCAATCCCACCAAGGTGGTCATACTTTAAAATAGGCCTGATAGGACTAGGAACTGTAATTAATAATAATTGAAATTTGAAAGGAAATAAAGTTGAAAAGACGCATCTGTGTCACTTGATAAGTTATACATGTAAACCACACAAATTCAAGAAATATAGATCATTTAAAATAAAAAAAAAGGCATTAGCTTATTTCGTTTCGGACGGCGTGGTGAGCAGCAATAGCAGCAGTAGGAAGGTGGTGGCTAGTCCACTCCTTCACACCTAACAAGCAACAATTGACTGGTCGGTGTCAAACGTGTCTCCGGCCATTGATGCCGTCTACGCTTTGAAGTGACAGACGAACTCTGTACAGCTTCGGAGGTTAAATCATCATCAACTTTGGTAACAAAACGGCTCTTTTCAGGGCCATCAAGCTTACATCAGTAAAGAGTTGTGCTTGATTGTCCATATTCAGAACCACAAGCCCCCAACGAACACACAAAATGCTCTCCAGAGTTGTAATCTTGTAACCAAACTTGTAAGCAGGTGTGCAAGTGATTTTGATTGATTCTCTTAATCAACTTTCCCTTTGAAAAATATGTCTACAAATTTGGTACGCCTACAATTCAAAAACGGAAAGAGTTGAGATAATAGATAATTGATCAATTAAAAGAACTAAATGCTCTTCACATTTATTCCGTCCACTAGTGGTCCTACGTAAACCTTCCGTTCGTGCCCCTAGGCACAGACCCTTCTACTTTTTCTTCTGACAAGTCAATCAGGATGCTTGCTGTTTTCTTTATGAACATCACAAAGACAATTATGATTTTAACAGTGTTGTTTTACATCATTTATTGATATTGATCTACCTGTGAATTGAATTTACAAATAGATATAAAATCGATTTCGTCCTGTTCGTCTGTAATATTTATACTAACACATTGTCGAATATTGTAATTTAACTTTCGCAGGCTTAGTCGATTTCTTAGCTCATATTTAAACATGTTGTCATAAATCTCATTGAGTATTAGTTCTCTCCCAACAAAATAAATATCATCATTCATGTCTGTTAAAATTTGTTCGATGCGAAAGGACTGATCATTCTTAATAACATAAGAGTCATCGTAGACTGATTTTTACATGATTCGTGTGTCCTATATTGAAGATAATTCCACTAGAGTTTGCCATGAAAACAAAACTCTAAATTTAAAAACTTCACATCGTCTTTTTCAATGCTATTGGATCTAATAAACTTCAATCGTTCGTCATATTTAACTTTTGTTATTTGTCTATTATGACAAAAGCGATTCATTATATACTTTCATGTAATTTGTACCATTAGATGATTATTTCCAGATCTGTACTTTAATATGGCACCATTCGCACTACGATATCTCACGACGCCTGAGTGGAGCAAGGATGAATCCTAGGATGCCAGTGAAGGACGCGACTGGTCAGTTGCTCACCGACCCCACTGATCAGCTGAAACGCTGGTTTGAACACTTCGAACAGCTTCTACAAGTTTCGTCGGTCAACCAGCCATCAACATCTCGGCATGAACCGCCAAGAGTGCGACGCATCACTCGCGTCAATTCTGAGGCGCCATCCCTACCGGAGATCGAAGCTGCTATCCGAACCATGAAATCCAACAAGGTCGATCGCATATCAGCAGAGATGCTCAAAGCTGACCCCATGCTATCTGCACAAATGTTGCATCAACTATTCTGCAATATCTGGGACACCGCGACTTTTCCGGCTGACTGGATGCAGGGCGTCTTAGTGAAGGTCCCAAAGAAGGGGGACCCAACTGTATGCGATAACTGGCGTGGCATTATGTTACTGTGTTGTGTTCTCAAAGTTCTATGCAAAGTTATCCTCAACCGGATACAGGAGAAGATCGACGCGACTCTCCGACGGCAGCAGGCGGGATTCCGTGCTGGAAGATCCTGTGTGGACCATATTGTCTCGCTCCGCATAATCTTGGAGCAGGTCAACGAATTCCAAGAGTCCCTTTACTTGGTTTTCATTGACTACGAAAAAGCTTTCGACCGACTCAACCACGAAAACCTGTGGGGCGCCCTAAGGCGCAAGGGAGTTCCGGATAAAATCGTCAACCTCATCGAAGCTCAGTATGAGGCTTTCACGTGCAGGGTGCTGCACAACGGAGCCCTATCTGACCCTATTCGGGTAGTCGCTGGAGTGAGGCAAGGATGTATTCTATCACCGCTACTGTTCCTCATCGTAATCGACGAGATAATGGTTGGTGCGATCGACCGTGTGCCGAACCGTGGGTTGCTCTGGCAGCCTATTACAATGGAGCATCTAAACGACCTAGATTTGGCGGATGACGTTGCTTTAGTATCACAACGGCGTTCTGACATGCAGAGTAAGCTCGACGATCTCGCCGAACGCTCCTCAGCGGCAGGTCTCAACATCAACGTCAGCAAGACTAAATCGTTGGATATCAACACGGGAAATCCATTGAAAGTTTCCAATATCTTGGCAGCCAGATAGCGTCGGACGGCGGAACCAAGAGTGACATAGGTGCACGGATCAAGAAGGCAAGGGCTGCTTTTGCGAGTTTACGAAACATCTGGAAGTCAAATCAGATTAGTCTCCACACGAAGATCCGAATTTTCAACTCTAACGTGAAATCTGTACTGCTGTACGCTAGCGAAACATGGTGCGTATCAGCGGAGATCACACAGAAGCTGCAGGTGTTCATCAACCGATGCCTGCGGTATATAATTCGTGCTTGGTGGCCTCACAACTGGATTTCGAATGCCGAGCTCCATCGACGGTGTCACCAGAAGCCGATATCGACAGAAATTCGGGAACGTAAGTGGAGGTGGGTTGGCCACACTCTACGGAAGAGCGGAAATGAAATCTGCAAACAAGCGCTGGATTGGAATCCAGCCGGACATCGCAGCAGAGGCAGACCCAGGGGCTCATGGCGGCGAAGCCTAAACAAGGAGATTAAGCAAGTCGACCGGAATTTGACCTGGGCCCAGGTCAAGGCGAAAGCAAACAATCGCCCAGGATGGAGATCTTTCACGTTGGCCCTTTGCGCCAGGGATGGCGCTCAGGACACTTAAGTAAGTAATTCGCACTTTATTGACAATTTTTTTTTGATGATATCAACCAGTTGATTTCAAAACATTTAGATTATTAAATTTGATATCATGATATCAAAATAATAACTAATTAAGTTTTTTTTCCTACCATAGGTATAATAACATATTGATTTCTTATTTTGTTTATTATTAACGAAATTACTTATATCATAACGCATACATGGATTTGTAATAAAAAACACATGATTTGTTATCTTTTTAATATCCTTCATACACCATTTAGATCTCATTTTTGTTATGATTACTGTTAACTCGACCACACGGTAGGCAAAATATGTTATCACGAACGCTTATATCAAAATATCAAATTAAGTTTTCATTTTGTTTTCATTCTCTGCTCGGGTAGTGGCTTGAATTATTGATAACTTTTTATGCTTACATTATATTGAAAAGTGGTTTTGGACAAAGTTGTAGCTGAGAAAATTTGCTACGAGCTCAGTTATCATTTTTTAAAGTAGAACGATATGGTAAATTGTTAGATGGATATAAACGAAACATTTGTTTTTCCTATAGTAATTTCCATATAAACTTCAAATGGTTTGTGCCAAGTCAGTTTCTTATCGAATGAGTTCAAATTTTGGGAGACTAATCAGGACCCGATTTGGAACCGTTTGAGCATTGTGGAGCGAAAATGTCCAAATTTGCATCAGTATATTGTACACACGGCATGGACGGAGATTGGGTTAGCACAAATTTGTTCCAAAGTCACAATAGTTGGGGTACGAATGCAAACCGGCCAAAACGGATTCCTCGTCTCACGATCAATATTCCATCAATGGGACTTCTGCACGGAGGAATGCTCCACTAGTTGTCTGTCTGGGGTGGTGTACAAGGGCCATCGTGTTCCCCGAATTCATACTAGCCACTATGGATCATTGCCATTCACCATTCAGACATTGCTTTATGCAGTTTCTACTCCAACTTTAAAGGAAATACAAATCTTTTCCATATATATATATCCAACAAAACAAAAATCAAAAGAATCTAATCACAAATCAAGGCCAGGTTTACATTGGAAGAATAAATGCAGTTTATACTATCTATTTATAAACCGCTTTTATACTAAGTATATATTCTCTCTCTTTATACCAACTTATGCGTAGGTCAGGAGAGTTGCTATACAATTTGATGTGAAAACAAAAAAAAAACCTAAATATTTAGCAAACATCAAACATGAACAAATACTCACATATGCGGAGGCAACTGGAAGAGGCTCTTGTTGGCATACTTTCGGACCAGATCCGGCGTGTAGATAGTCAACGGTTTGAACGGGTTCAGCGCTACCAAAAATGTGCCGATGTACGTCTGAAACGAGCGAACAATGCAGCAAAGGCACACACAAATTAATCCGAGATAATCGCGAACGAAAATACACGCCGAAAACGAACAACTCACATAGATCAAATCCCTTTTGTAGCGCTGATGCAAATTGTTAATAAAACTCTCCTCCGATAGGTTCTCCAGCAGGACCGAGTCCCAGCTTCCGATTTCCTGTTCCATTGTTTTCTTTTCTTTTTCTTTTTTTCGTTTTCCCGTCGACGGCACACTGATTTTGCAACAATTAGCTGGTGGCCTAGTTTCGATGCGTCGTAAAGTTTTCCCTTTTGCTGTTGTCTCCAATATTACACACGATTCTCTCGATGTTGCTGCTGCTGCTGCTGGTGGTGGTGGTGGTGCTGGCTGGTATGCCTCTCTAAATCATATTCCTTATTCGTTTTTCCATTATATGTATGCACACGCAGCCAGTGCCCCTTCCGTCACCGTCCATATATAACACTATCTCTGTATGGAAGGAAAGCGAGAAAGACATCACTTGAAAATAGAACGCCTCCGGTTTCTGATAAGAATCGGCATACATTTTTCATTTCTACTATCTCGTTTATATTTTCGTTTCCCACCCCACTTGCTTTCGCTCTTCTTGACTCAACCCAGCCCGCCCCCGGAGCCCCAGCCCAAACCGAGGCGACAGGGTGGTTGGTTGAGGTCTTGCATATCACCAAGGACACTAAAAAATGAATGAATGTATGCGTCTTCTTCTTCTGCCTTCTGTATGATTACATGATGCATAAAATTAGCATAACTTTCGGCGAAAACTTCTTCCACCACTGATGTTTGTCACAACTTTTCGCAGTTCATTTTCCGACCACCGCACCCACCGTCACGACACCCGTGAAAGTAATCCCAACAACATCATTAAAAATTCTTACCCACTTTGCAGCAAATTCGCTTAAAATTAAATCACTTAGCGCCCCTCTCCGCCGCACGCCTCACAACAGGACGACGATTCTCCGTTCCTTCGCTCGCTGACCAAGGGCGAAAAGCGTAGCCCCAAAATGTATGCAACCCACCACCCCTGAACTCCACCCCGTTCGGGGTTTTTTCTTCCGCGCACTTTTCCCCGCTATCCAGACGATTCACGATTGCTGGTGCTACTGCATTTAGGAGGCACCGTCGTCCAGGAGAAACCTTGCTCTATATTTACAAAGCACTGGCGCCACCGAACTGGCCATCCCGTCTCAATCTGTTCCCGCCGTCAACGAAACCACACGTCCAATTCTGTTGAAAAATCGCGGAAAAAACGGAGTGAAAAATGACAATTTCCCTAATAGTTGTAGGACCAACCGACCGACCGAAACTACTTATTGAATTTTCTTCATTTTCTTCACTCTGACGGCGGTGGTGATGGTGGCGTGCGATCTATCGGACTCGCACCCAAAAGTGAAAATTCGTCTTTGACAGCTGGGCCTGTGATGCGCCTGTGATAAAATTCTCGGTGACAGGACGAGCGGAAAAAAAAAAACAGTTTTCCACCAGTTCGGACACATACATACCCACGCATACATAGACAGGACGATCCGCATGAATCTTAATGGCTGATATAGAAAAGGGGGTGGTGGGTGGTTAGAAAATCTGTTGATGTGTGTAGGGAGCCCCTGTGGCTGGAGATGGTGCGATACTATCACAGTAAAAATATATTAAAATTAATTACAACGGAATTTGAAATGTATCATAATCTTATACCATAAAGCTCAAGCCTTGCCCGAAAAAAAAAATTACAGTGACATTTTCAGTGGAAACAATGCTCTAACATTAATATTTATTGTCGACAATAAAAATGATTGTTATAATGTTGTACCCTTCCGAAAACGGCAAAACTTCTACCTAGCTGTACAATGAATGTACATAATAAAATGTTGTTACAATGATTTTTATTGTATTTTTCATTTATTTTATTGTTAACATGATTCGATCACGAACAATAATGAACAATTCTATTACAATAAAAAATGTTGTTACATTAAATATTGGTGTGTTTTCATTGTGGGTTACTTCACGAACAATAAAAATAAATCTGATCGAAGCATGCAGACTATGAGAGGGTCAGCAACACTGCCAATGTAATCAAGATAGGCGCTGCTCGTATGGCTCTTGCTTTGACAGTTCGTTTGGCTTTAGTCGTTGCCAAGTCAATTGAACGCCTACGACCAGATAGGTTTGAGTTAAACTCAACTCTCCTGCCTCATCTACATCCCGCTTAATGTAGACCTTTTCCGTGCAGTCAATAATCATACAATAATAATAAAAAAATCCACCACTTGAAGATGTCAGGAAATAACTCTCAGGTGGAAGCATATTTTCATGGGCGATTCTCTCCAGTTGAATGCATTAACTTATCAACGACGCTCAACCACCAAGGAGACGTGACCTAGAGAGATCGAGTCCAGGGGAGTTGGCTTCCATTTCTCACAAGTTCCGGATCGAATCTCAATCCCATAACCAGTAAAAAAAGGACTCACTCGTAACAGACATTACCACCCCCTTCCCTCCCCGGGGCGATGTTTCATTTTTTCGATTTATTTTTAAAGTCGATAAAGTAGATCTGTCAAGCCAACACATACACTCTAAAGTACACTGTTATTTTTTTTAATCAATAAATTCACCAACCAACAGTAAAATAACAATAATATATAATGTTATTGAAAAAACATTATATGGGGAAATTACGAAAATTTCATTGTTAAGATACTTAACAACCCCCCTTTTTTATTGTAAATTTTCCATTTACCATGAAATTTACTGTTTTGTACAACATAAATCAAGGTAAATTTATTGTAGACGTAACAATATAAATCATTGTTAAGACAATAATTTTCGTCTTATTGTAACATTGTTTTTTATTGTATTTTTGTTGTTATTTTTTTTCGGGTGGTCATTTAATTTTAATTCAATTCCAGCTGAACATTGCATTAGGTGCTAAATAACATTGATCGATTCTCTTCGTCGACTTTCTCTTTCGTTAATAACTTGAGCACATAACCATAGAGGTAACTCTAAGACCACTGGGTCCCGAAGAAAATCATTATTATTTTTGGCTCACTCAGTACCAGAACAACGGTCCCAAGCAGTCCCAAGCTATTTCACTCACCCCTGCATGTTCTGCATGAATCCACACACCCCTGATGTTATCTGTCAAACTTTCATAGCGAATCAAAACAAACATAGTGTAGTAATAGAATTTCAACTAGAATAGGGTACGTTAATCGTTTGCTTGGGACCAATAGGCTACTAAAGTGGTGAGCCAATTTAAAATCGTTAGTTTCGTATTGATTGTTGACATAACCGTTTCTTGTTGTGTTTGTCGTATTAGATGCTAGATGTAAGCTTCTTTTATCGATTTGTGTGCTTAAAATACCTGGGAATGTCTTTATATGGCCATGGGGATGCAAAGATAAAGTCTACGAAGCGTTCCACGTTACCTGGAAACTTTTGCGGCAGCCATTATCGTTTGTGCCTTTTAGCGAAAAGCGATTTGGTTCTAGTTTTGAATCCGACAAGTAGCCTTTTTAGCAGATCGGGCTTTAAGCGTAATTTTTTTTTTTAAGCAGTGAAGATGTTGTGTGATTTTTGAAATTTGCTGTACAAAAATCTGGCGAGCTTCTAGGAACACATTCTTAGATCTGCTCGACATGCGATTAATTAATTTATTTATTTGTCGTCAATCAGTGTAGACCGCTTTACAATTCTTACTTAAACCACAGACAAAGAGACATAACACTCACAACAACATTCTTCGCATGCTCTAACAGTGATTTCAAATAAGGCGTTTGTTGGAAATATGTCCGCATTTGTCATGGTGGTGCCACTGAAGTGTTAAGCAAACCAACACGTTTGGAATAAATCAGTGATGCCAGTTTTTTGTACAGGTCATGTTCGTAGAAGGCACAACTTTTGAAAATGATGAGGAGGCCAATGCCCACCACTAATCTGATGTGCACACACACACACACACACACACACACACACACACACACACACACACACACACACACACACACACACACACACACACACACACACACACACACACACACACACACACACACACACACACACACTCACACACACACACATACACATACACACACACACACACACACACACACACACACACACACACACACACACATACATACATACACACACACACACACACACACACACACACACACACACACACACACACACACACACACACACACACACACACAAAGGGCTACAAATGGTGAGTTGACAACCTAGCTCTGGTTCTCACAAGTTCCTACCTCACATCAGTAAGATCCTTATTACGGCATACTGGATACGGCATGGAACTATGGACACGACACGGTACAATGGATTGGATACCACGCTACAGGGCTGACAGTCGTGCTATTCTGCTCCCTAAGTAAAGAAGGGTGACACCTTCTTGAAATGGCGAGTGGGCTAATAGTGCGGCTGCCCCCGTCCCGGTAAAACCTTGGCAGGCCTCCGGATACGTTCAAAACTCGTCACCAATTGGTGATTGGTGAGTAGTAGACTCAGATGTAACATTCCTGACTTACACCGATCTGGCTCTGAACACGGCCCCCATGAAGGACCGTGTCAACCCTAGCATGGTCTCCCTGCTTGCATAGATAACCATGGGATCACGATAGGCGACTACATACAACGAGTGGAGTTAGCGGCCCGGAGGGGGGACCCAACAGAATGGAGAAAAACGGAGAAAAAAACAAAAAAGAAGAAAATGAGAAAACCCAAAAAAATATGAAGGACGACGGCAAGACGCCAGAAATTGAAAACGGAGGAGCGAACGTGTTCGCAAGGAGCGGGATATTGCAGAGATCACCAGTGTTGAACCTGGAGGCAACAGCGAGTTCCAACAGCAGCAGTAAGCCCCAAGGTGAGCAGCAAGGACACCAAGGAGAGCTAGGTCTTATGCTAAGCCAGGTGTTCACACCGAAATCCAGCAGTAGCACACCCCAAGAAGGATTGCAGCTTGGGAAGACCAAATTGATGGAGGTCAGGAGGAGGATCAATGAACTCCATGACTTCATCAAGGATAAGAGCAACGTCCACAAGGCAATAAAGGAAATGGTGACGGGCATCAAATCCGCCATTATTGCTGCCGAACGTGAACAGGATGCGCTGAGGACGAGGTCCGTAACTGCCGAAAGGGCACTGATCGAGGCCAAGGAGAAAGCAGCAGCTGAAATACAGGAGACGCCAAAGGGACCTCGAAATCCACGCTCGGAGAAGAGGAAAAGGGAAACTCCAGGAGAGGAAGAGGAGTTGAAAAAAGTCAAGAACGACAAAGAAGACAACAAGGCTCCTTGTGCACTAACTAAGCTAGTTCCACATCACCCTCCTCTAATTGTCACTGTTGAGGACAAACTCGTGCGTGATTTTGGCGACTATACTGCTACGGTTTCTTATGACTTCCGTAAAGCTAACCACCGTAGCATCATAGATGTATTGTCTAGCATGGTATGGGAGAACATCCTTGATCCAGATGACGTTGAGGCTGCAGCGCAAACCTTTTCACATGTCTTGGCATATGTCATTGACAGACACGTCCCGAAAAGAACTCACCACAAAGGGTCTCACCCTCCCTGGCAAACGAGAGAGCTACGTAGGTTGAAGTCAATCAAGAGAGCAGCATTGAGAAGATTTACGAAGTATCGCACACTTCCTCTGAAACTACATTATGTGAGGCTGAATCACATGTACCAGCGAGTCAGTCGTGAATGCTTTTCAAATTTCCAACGAGGCATCCAGCGCAAACTTAAGCTACACCCGAAATCCTTTTGGAACTACGTGAACGAGCAACGCAGGGAATCCGGCCTCCCATCGTCTATGGAATTCAACGGAGAAGTTGCTGCCACTGTTCAGGATATATGCCACCTTTTTTCCGAAAAGTTTTCCAGTGTATTCACTAATGAGACACTAACTGACGACCATATTAACCTGGCTGCCAGGAACGTTCCAGTAAACGATCAAACGCTGGGTGCAATTGATGTTAATGCAGAAATGATTTCTAAGGCCGCGACTCTGCTCAAGTCATCCTTCAATCCTGGACCTGATGGAGTTCCATCTGTATTTTTGAAGAGACATATTGCTAGCTTGTTAATTCCGCTTCTTCGCCTGTTCCGAATGTCTCTCTCAGGTGGCATATTTCCATCTTGCTGGAAATTTGCGCACATGTTTCCCGTCCACAAAAAAAGGAAGGAAACGAGCTGTGGATAACTATCGAGGAATTACATCGTTAAGTGCCGTTTCGAAGCTATTCGAGCTAGTGATTATGGAACCGTTGCTGTCCCATTGCAAGCAGTTTTTGAGTGCTGATCAACATGGGTTTACTGTCGGCCGCTCTACAGCT